AGGTGCTCTTTAAGAGACAAACATTCATCCAACTTGAGCGAGTAAAGATGCTTCTTTAATTGCAACTTGCTGGTCAATGATTTATGCATGCATAATTGCACTAACTTCGCCGATAACGAAGTAGTCGTCTACTCCTCCAACACATCTTGCAAAATTTGATTTTTTAAGTGTAAACGAATTTGAGAAAGAGCTTTACAATCTTTATGCTCTTCCTCATTCATCCATTGTGTTATCGATTTTTCATCAAATACTTTGTGCAAGAACATCACGAATCTTCATCTGCCATAGCGAGCTCTTGGTGTTTCGATCCAATAGCAAAATATCATATTTCATTGTTGTCATAATCTTGAACCCGAAGCTCTGATACAAATTTATTGTAATATCATATCGATATCGACAAACAAATAAACACGATTGAAAAAAATAAAGAACATCAAGATTTACGTGGAAAACTCAAAAGGGAAAAACCACAGGTAGATGAGAAGAATTTCACTAATATGAAGGAAGAAAATAAAAGAGAACTTTGGAGAAAGAAAAAATTGATATATAATCCTTACGCTTAGTATCTATTTATAGGGATAGATATTTGATTGCAAATGAAACTAAATAAAGTAAAAATGTACTTTAATAAAGTTATATACTTTTAATCAAACTATGTTTATTACCTTCCCAATTAAATTGGGTCACTCTAAATTCAAGTCAAACTTTAATAATTTCGATTCATGAGACTATTCTCTATCCTATAATCTATTTCTTTATTCACCTTCTCACCCCCTACTCTTTGTCCCTTTACCTCTGTATCGTCAAATATCATAATTCATTCATCGCAATTTCAATATTCATATCAAAAGACAAACATATACACGTATATATTTTAATTTAGACTATTATACTCGTAATAAAAATTTGTACATTATATTCTCATATTTTCATACAACAAGGGATTAAATACTCAGCATGACAATATTCAATTCACATAATAATAGGAGACTAAATATCATAGTCTCCTTAGCACATAATTAACATAAAACATAATTAGACACTCATCTTAGCAGGATTCACTAAATATTAAATTGAAATCTTTTTAGAGGCTTGAATTAGATCTTTTCTTTTCCTTTTAAAGATCTTTCTTCCACCACTTCTCTTGGAGGTTTGATAAATATACATATAACAACACATCATATATCTACAGTTAACTTCTCATATTTTGATACATAAAAAAATTAATAAAGAGATCCAGAAGTAAAACGCTATCATAATGTAAATTTCTTATTTAATCCAGTATATATAAATACCATAACAATAAACTTTCCTTCCCTCTTGAACTTAAACCCCAAAAAAATCATGGAAACTACTCAAATAATTGACTTTTTCTACAAAATATACTTAAAATTAAAAGGAAGCTAAAAAAAATAAACTTCAAGGATATGTGATTCATGAAGAAAAATGGAAAAAAAAAGTACATTCTCTTTGTTCATCACCCACGTTTTGGATCCATCTTCTCTCTTTTTTCCCCTTTCTTTACTATTTGTTATTATTATTATTAACACATACTCAAAAAATATGTCATGGAAATTTTATGTAAAAAAAAAAATTAAATTACACCATTCATCATTGAAGTTCGCTCTCTTTCTTATTTCACTCACTACATTTTCAATTTTTCAATTTACTAACTCAACTTTCGAATTGCTCTTATTCTGAATTATTTTATTATTTTGGTATGATGTGACATTTAACATTATTATTTAATATAAATATAATTAAAAATATAAAATTAAAACCAGATGTGGTCGTCCACTGTTCGTCATCGTTGGACACCATCGACAATGGCCATAGATGATGGTCGTTCGGTCCCATATTTCATCAACAGTTTCGTCTCAACCCCCTGAGTCTAAATTCAACCTCTATTTTGTCAGAACATGCTCTGACTCTGATCAAAAGTGAGGAAACTAAAACGTCGATCGTCGTAGATAGTGGTCATTCAGTCCCATATTTCATGGGTCGCTTCACCTCGACCTCCTGAGTCCGAATCCAACCTCTATTTTGTCATAACATGCTCTAAAGTACATGAATAGGAGATTGAAAGTGAGAAAACTGAAATGTTGCAGTTGAGATTCATGGGTTGTGGGAAAATTTCCGGTTAAATAACCACCAGATTCAAACTCAACGTGTCAAAGCGAGTCTCTTGATACAATTTGGCATCAAGCAATTGCAAGTTCTAAAGGTCAACGATGGTCGACAGTGACGAGAAAGGGCGGTGATTATTTTAAATCTCTTTAAATTTAATAATAAAATATTATTTTATTATTTATTTTAAATTATTGTTATATTTAATAATAATAATAAAATGTCACGTCATAGAATAATAATAGTAAAATTATTTGCAGTGACCAAAACATGAGTAATTTGAAAATTCATTGAGTAAATTGATAAAATTGAAAATAAAAAGAGTAAAATAGGTGAAAGAGTAAAGTTTAATGATGAATGAAGTAGTTTACCCAGAAAGTATATGCCATCTTATAAGTTGTGTCAAAACTAGTAACAAACTAAAAATCCTAGTAAATGATTTTACAAGGGTAGATAAAAAATAATAGTTTTCAATCTTCCATCACCATCAAAGTGCATTTGGAGTTAAAAGTCTCCATCTTTTTTTTTGGATAATTAAATTTTATTACACAAGAACGGAACCTGTTACAAAAATCAGTGTTCTCGAAGCATCAGGAACAGGTTACATACAAAAGAATCAAAATCAATCAATGTCCCAATGCATACAAAGATTAGTATTAACACTATCAATGCTATTTAAATTTATACCCCTATGTTGTGATCCGACAGTGTCCTTGATGGCTCGAAGAAAATCAGACACAGCTTTTGATCGACCTTGAAACAGTTTCTTGTTCCTTTCTTCCCAAATAAAGTAAATCAGAGCATTAAGAGCAAGCTTCATTATGGAAGAAAGCAAAGATTTACCTTTCCAGTAAGAGCATGCCCAAGTCAAAAAGGAATCCCAAGAATGAGTTCTGAATCGAAGACCAGAAAGAAAGAAAATAGAGTTCCACATGAAGTCAGGCATAGGACAATGGAGGAATAAGTGATCCCTAGTTTCTAATGGTTCATCACAAAACATACATTGGCAATCATTGATAATCCCCATACGAAGAAGTCTATCTTTAGTAGGGAGTCGATCAAGTAAAGCCATCCAAGAAATTAGGCTGTGTTTTGGTATATAGAGAGGAAACTAGATAATTTTCTGCCATATTACAAGGGGTCTTTTTACCCGAATTTCATCCCATATATTCCTCACTAAGATAGTAGCAGCAAACATAATAGAAAAAGCCTCGTGCCTCAATTTAAATAATTTCCTTAAGCTCCAACTGGTCGAAGAATTAATTTCTGCATTCCAGAAATTGTTACCTTTAAGAACATAGCAGTTAATCCAGGCGACCCATAGCGAGCCTTCACCTGCAAGAATTTTCTTGATAAGTAGGAGCATACAAGCTTTGTTCCAGGTCTGTAAGTCTTTAATTCCAAGCCCCCTCAGATTTTAACAAGCATATATTTTTCCATCCTACACGGGCTCCAGAAGGAGATCTATCGGCTCCTTTCCAGAAAAACTGGGAGCATAATTGTTCAATCCGCTTGAGAACAGAATTGGGCAGAAACAATTGTCTACACCAATAACTACTGATGCTAAATTAAACAGCTCTGATTAGCTCTAATCGGCCAACATAGGAAAGAGATTTTGTAGACCAAAGATGCAACCGAGCCTTTATGCTTTCAATCTTATCTTAGAATCAGCTTGCTATTGCCATAAACAAAATCTCTACAATCCTATGTTAAATATTCCATTTCTTTTTGACCCACCTAATTTAACATCGCCTAATTTAATGTTCTTGCAAATTCGAAGGTCAGACATATCATTTGCTTTAAAGCTTCTCTTTTTCGGGAGAGTTTGGTTCACGAAATGAAAAACTACCTTTAGAAATAAGATTACTGGAATATAACATTACTGTAGGAATATTTTACTACTTTGTTTGATCTATTTAGCAGAAATATAAGATTATAATATTTGGTTGAAAGAATATAAGAATACTTGGATGCATATTTTAATAAATTATTCTCATGATATATGTTTTTTTTTCAACAAGTTAAAATATAATAACATAAATATTCATAAAAATATTTTAATTGTTATGTTATTTAAATTTTAAGAAAAAATATTTAATATATAATTAGTATATAAAACTTATATTTTTAAATAATTTTCATAAGTATCATATTTGTTTATATAAAATATAATGTAATATAAAATAATATTTTGATTCCGAGTGGATAAAGATATTATTTTCAATGTATAAAATTCATTTTTTAATAAATAAAAAATAAAAAATTATTTTAAATAATTATATTTTTATAATAATATCATTTCTATCTCATAAAATTATAAAACAATCAATATATTAAATATTAAAATATAAAAAATTAGCTACTTAAATTTATTAAAATTTAATCAAATCAAACTCTTTCTATATAATTATTATATTTATAATTTTGAATAAAATAAAAAAAATAAAAATTGAAAAACATTTATATAAAAAGAATTCATTATTCTATGAATATTTTTATTTAAAAAAATAAAAGTTATTCATAATCAAAAATTTGAAAATAACGATATTCTCACTATTTTAATAAAAATAATATTATTAATAATAAATTATTATTTAATAACGATATTTTAATGAACTAAACGTAAAAATATAATTCAAAAAAAAAAAAGATTATTTTTGATCTGTATCACAAACCAAATTCCTGGATAAGGTCGCCAAGGCAATGCCAGTCCATCACGCTCGGAGCAGCCGTCTTTTTTAGCGTCTTTTGAGTTGCGTGTTTACTGCGTTTAAGCCACCGCTTGCCCACAATTCCCAACATTATTATATCTCCTTCCGCTTCAAACGTGTTGTTATTTCTATTTTATTTTCTAAGCTACTCATTGCTCACACAATCGCAGCTGTCAAACTCTAAGCCGACGGTCCACAATCCCGGACTGTGATGGGAATCTTCAAGGATCGTTAATCCAACGGTTTAAAACTCAAGATTTCGAAGCGAGCAACAAGAAGCTATATTTTTTTTGTTGGAAAAGATTGGATCAAACGAGCGTTATCCCACGGAGATAGAGAAACGCAGAAAACGACACGACTGATACCCAAGTCAGGGAGCTCTAATATATATATCTGCCGAATTTTTATTAAATTACAGGGAAAAAGTTCGTTGGTTTTGAGGCCAAATCATCGGGCACTTAGTTCGGTACTATTTCCTCTCTTTATTTCTTTTCCTTGTATGCGGGTACTGATTGAATTGACCAAAGCCTTGTTGTTTGATCGATTCGCGTGTACTTTGATTGAATTGACCAAAGCCTTGTTGTTTGATCGATTCGCGTGTACTTTGAGCTGGAAGAAGAGAAAAAAAGAAGACATTGCTTTTGTCTTGAATGAAATGTTTGTATTTGGGTATTTCTTGCTTCTTGTTCTGTTCTATGGTGGTTGTTGTCTTGTTTGATTTGTTGGTTTTTTGGATTTTCTATCTGAGTGTTTTGGAATTTGATGATTTGATTTCTTTGTGAATTTTGTGCCTTTTTTCTGTAATGGTGATATGGTCTGCTTGGTTGCTGGGAAAGTTGATGAAAAGACGTGGGAAAGTGAAAATTAAATTGGTTTCTCGTTACTCGTTATTGTATGGATTTTATGGGAAGATTTTTAAAACAAAGCAGAAACCATAGGTACCATACTCATCTAATAATGTTTATTTTGCATATTATGTACTAAAGGCTTAAACCTACTACAGGAAATTTATCATAAGAATTTGATGCTTTATGGTGCTCTGTATTCAATAGAATTCACCGATTGAGTGCAAGCACAATTTTAATTTTTTTTTGGAGATTTTGTTTCGAGCTTATGGCTTCAAGCTGTTATTTAGAGCGTTAATGCTGTTTAGGGATTGTAAATTTGTTCATAGCATGATCAAGCCATTTGCTTAGAGCTTGATTGTTTGAGCAACAGCATTCTCTCTGCCTATGATCAGATCACAGACACAAAATGACATGGCATAGTTTTATGCTGTAAATAATGTGTATAGCCTTGCTCCACTAAAGAACTGATGTAGAATGTGTGTGAATGAGTTCACACATGTCGATGGCTTCAAGTTTTTGACGTGTACTTTGTCTTCGGTTGAAAGTAGAAGCTATGTTATGCTTGCTTAAGGTGGCTGCTAATGTTGGCTTCGATTAGTTCTTTACATTCGGCCCATCGGCTCCTGTTAATATGTATTGATTGTGACTTTTTCAGGTGTTTTTAGATAAAAGATGAGTACATTGGATGCAACCAGAGAAGAACTTGCTCTTGTAGTTTTGTATTTGAATAAGGCTGAAGCACGGGATAAGATATGCAGGGCTATACAATATGGTTCGAAATTCCTAAGTAACGGGCAACCTGGCACAGCCCAAAATGTTGACAAATCAACCAGCTTGGCTCGGAAAGTTTTCCGTCTTTTTAAGGTCATCTCACTATGCCTGATACTAAAAATGAGGAGTCGGTTTATGTGATACAATGGTGAACTATGAACTATCGCAGGAACCATTATTCACTTATTTGATAATATTTTCTTTTTGGTTTCTAAAACTAATGATAGTTGTTGAACACTTGAATTCTTACACTGCTAATTAGCTCGATTCTTGTTTTTAATTGAGAATTTTGCAGTTTGTCAATGATTTGCATGGTCTTATTAGCCGTGTTCCTCAAGGAACTCCACTTCCTCTTGTTCTGCTGGGAAAGGTTTGATGAACTTCCATTTCTATAAAATCTCCTGTCATCTCAATTTAGTTAATTAATGTTTCTTTGTGGCTTACTTTAATTCAATTTTTTCAGTCGAAAAATGCACTTTTGTCGACGTTCTTGTTTCTCGATCAAATCGTCTGGCTTGGCAGAACAGGCATCTATAAGGTATGCTAATGCAGTATACACATCATTTTGCTGTTCCTTTTAATTTGTTTCTCTTGGTTTATAAACATTGTTAACTCAAAGGAAGCTGTTTACAGAACAAAGAAAGAACCGAGTTGATCGGCCGAATATCGCTTTTCTGTTGGATGGGTTCTTCAGTCTGCACCACCTTGGTTGAGGTTTGTTGCTATGCTCTTCATTGACTTGACCTACGAATTTAAGATGTTTCGTTAGCTGTATCCACTTTTTTATGAAACATGCCATCTTTAATCAGCTTGGGGAGCTTGGAAGGCTATCTAAATCATTGAGAAAGTTGGAAAAGAATCTTAAGAACAGTGATAAGTACCAGGTATCATCAATGCATGCATCTAATGTGTTGTTTTTCTCAAGTGTCCTTGTAATCAGTCTTCTCCCTAATAGGATTCTTATTCCTGTTTTTCCCAACTTTATTGCACTTCAGAATGAGGAATACCGTGCTAAGCTCCAAAAATCAAATGAGAGAACTCTAGCTCTTGTTAAAGCAGGACTGGATATCTTGGTCGCGGTTGGCCTTCTTCAATTGGCACCTACGAAAGTCACCCCTCGTGTAACCGGAGCTCTTGGATTCATAACGTCTCTCATCTCTTGTTATCAGGTATATTGGATTCTATTCTTTTGGTCTTAGACCTGATTCTTTTGCTCTATTATTAGTGACTATGCATATGGAAGATCACTAATGTAGAGGTTAATGAAAAGGTATAGAAATCAAGAGGTTATATGATACATGCCAGCATGCAAATTTATGAAACAAAAGTTACTAATATATAGTTTAAATCATTGATTGAATGAATGTTAACCTGGGGGAAAATGGTATCAAGTCCAGCTTTTATGTGAAAAATACAAAAAAAAATTATTTCGATTTACTGATTGGATTGTGCTGTGTTACAGTTGCTTCCATCACCACCCAAATCCAAGGTAAACTGAAATGGGAAGTCTGGTTTGCTCAACAAGCTTGTCATTTAAATAAGTTTATATTGGTACAAGATTTGAAGAATTTGTCAGCCTGGGGTGACCTGGAACTACTCTTCCTGTGTTAGCACCATTGTTATTGAATCTCTTTTAGGGTTTCAACAAAATAATAGCAATACACATTACTGTTATTTCTTCGCATTTATGAATTTAGATAGTGTTATGGTCTTGAATTTCTTTTAGGCTTATTTTAGCACAAGTTTACTGCACACCAACCATTTCCCCCTCCTCGTCCTCTTCGTTGTCAAAGTCCGATCCCTCTTTCTCCGTCGTCTATCACCAAGTCTCTAGAGTGCACACGCATCTGTGAGCAGGTAAAACTGGCACTGTGTAACTCCGTACCTCCGGCTCAAAATTTTCAGAGGTTTCAAGTATCTGGATGCCAAAAGCAGGCCATAATGGTCGTCCAAGAACTTGAACACGTAACACACTGCAATGATATATCCAGTATATTGCATTATAAAGGGGCAAGGGAAAATGCACATTAAAACCTAAAGATATACAACAATTGAAATTTATGGTTCCTGACATGACAGATTTATACTCAATCCTATTGCAATAACTAGTAGAGAAGGGTGTGCTTTTTACAGTACCGGATATAGAATAAGCCATCCGTTTCCTGTCTCTGGACCCTTCCCAACAGCACAATCTGTACTATTCCACCAATGCAAAGAATCGGTTTTGGAAGCTTGAAACTTTGTATACGGTTTGCCTGTTTATGTAAAAACCTTAACACTGTTAGTGTTGTATGAGTTCTTAGAAAACTATAAGAATGAGAAAACGGAAATGACAGTATTTAGAAATATTTCAGCGTTGTATGTATTATACATAATTTCTTTATTCAATATAGACAATGGATGCTTACAAATGACTGAAACTGAAGTTCTTGTGGTAACATATAGAGAATGATCAATCGAATAGATCAAAGAAAACGAAACCGGTGCTTGAACCAACCTGAGACATTTCAAACTATGGCGAGGTGTAAGTCCATGAAAACTGGTCATACACGTGATTACGGGTGAACATTTGATCGATTCGAGTACAAAAATTTCGAGTTATTCAAGTTGACGAGTCATATTTTATAATTCGAACTTAACATGCATTCTTCCGAGTCGAGTCGAGCTGTTCGAGTTTCTATACAAATTTAATTGTAATTATTTATAGCATTATAGTATGGATTTATTCAAAATTTTCGACTTTATCTAACCATATAAGATATATATATTTCTTCATATTTTTTTACATTACAATGTTATTTAATATCTCACATAAAATTTAAAATTATAAAATATATTTACAATATTATATTTCAAAGAAGGTATTTTTAGGATAAAAGATTAATAGGAGTATAAATGAGTTAAAGAATTGATGTGAAGAAAGAATTTGTAAATAATTGCAGTCAAAAGATTAAATTGAGTAAAATGCCAAGTTAAAGGACTAAATTTTTTAAAAAAAGTATATTTTTAGTTAAAAATAATAATAATAATTGAAGTTACATAGGTATTCTATAGTGGTAAGGGAGTATGTGGTTTAAATTTGGTCAAAAGTATACTTAAAATGAAGGATGAATTGAAGAAATAATAAATCATGCAAAATTGGGGGATTAAATTAAAAAATATATATAAAATTTGTTATCAAAAGTGTAATTGTAAGTACATATGTATTATATGATGGTTTATGAGCTTGTGGTTCAAACAAGGTGAAAATTTGACTTAAAATGAAGGAAGAATTGAAGGAATAGGAAACAGGGATCAAATCGCAAATCTGTCAAAATACTAATCCAAATTTTTAGTTTTTCGAGTTATTCGAAATTTTGAAATTTCAACTCGATTCGAACTCGAAAAACAAATTGATAATTCGAGTTGACTCAAATAACTCAACTCAAATAACAAAATTTGATTTTTCGAGTTAAACAGGCATAAACTCTATGCTCCCTCTCCAAAGCTTCCCATTTCATAAAATTGCTACATCCAGCTCCAGTATGACCTTTTGCAGGGCCACATAGTTCATTGACGAGATCAACTCTAGATAATTAAGGAAGCATTCGCAGAGAGGGAAATGATCAGGTGCGGCAGCCTTAATATACGGCTAAAAAAAGTCGTTACAGATTTTTTTATTATTTAAATAATAAAACCGGTAAAAAATTACCGGAAAAATTATTAATTTTACCGGTTTTGTTATTTTTTTCTACCGGTTTTATTATTGTTGGGCACTTTACTGGAAATGTTAAAAAACATTGATATTTTAGGTAGAAATAATAATGTTTTAGGTAATATTTTACCGGTTTTATTATTTAAATAATAACAAAACCGGTAACGCTTTTTTTAGCTGTATATTAAAGGTGTGTTTAGTTCACGGAATGTAAGATTACCACTGAGAATGTAAGATTACCAGGGAATATGATTACTGAGAATGTTGTATTTTGTGTTTGGTTGGTTTAGCAGGAATGTAAGATTACCGTGTTTGATTAAAGGAATAAAATATTATTGGAATGTATATTTGACCAAATTGTCCTTATTATATATTTGTTTTTTTAACAAGTTAGAAAATATTTATATATTTTCTTTATAAAATTTAAATTCATAAAATTTATATAATTTTTTTACAAAATTGAAAATATAAAAAGGTTTAATGAAAAGGTAAAATTTTATTTTAACCCCTGAACTTCATATAAAATTTTAATTATAGATTTGTTTTGTAAATCTAAAATAGTTTAAGGATAAATTTATAATTTAACCTTCGTAGAATTTTTATTATTCAATGACAGAAGAATGATATTTTTTTTAAAAAAATTTAAGGGCATTTTAGTCCAAAACGCCAGTAATTCAACAATACCTAAGGAAAGTGAGGTAATGACATTCCCGGTAATATACTCCAAAAAATCTACTATTGGTAATAAAACATTATCGGGAATGAGATTCCCGACCAACCAAACATGGGAATGTGGATTCCATTCCCATGGGAATCCCACATTCCTTGATCCAAACACCCCCTAAGAGTGTCGTACTGTAGAACTTCCCTCGCAGAGAAAGATGTTCACATAGACCATTTCTAGTCACTGCAAACCATTGAAAACTAATACGTCAGCAACTACTGAAACTATCATGCAAAATAACCAAGTCCCAGTGAAACAAGATTGGTATTTGTAGACACCCATTTTGTCAGTGTTTTTTTTTATCATTTTTAGTTATTAAATATTAATATATTTTTATTATTTACAGGTCCAACAACCAGTAGACCCAATTTAATTAGAACCCAAGACCCGAAGACCAACAACAAGTCCAAGTGATCCAAAATAAAATTAGTGTTTAAAACCCTAAGGTTTACAGCAATTGTTGCTGCCGTTGCAAGCTGTTGTCGCCAACCACTCTGCCACCATTGTCCATCGCAGAGGAGCCTTCACCGAAACCATGCCGCTGCCATCTCTGTCGATCCCTGTTTAACCAAGCTAGTCAAAAAAATCAAAATAAAAAAATACCAAATAAAACATCCAAATAAAAAATAATAACAACTCCCCAAACCAATCCTTGAAAATCCGGGGAACCTTGCCCCTACCACTGAACAACCATCTCCCACTAAACCTTTGCTCTAACCTCATTAATACCAAACACACAACAACCATAAAGAAAGGAGATCAAGGAGGATTTAAGAGGAGGGGTTCGAACCAAGGGGGAGGAATAAAAAGAGGAGAACCAAAAAAAAACTAGAAAAAAAGGAGAAAAAGGTAGATCCGAAAAAAGGGGAAGAACTCGAAAAAAACAAAAAATGAGATAGAATAGAAAGCTTACATTCCTTGCCGGTCATAGGAAGCCGAAAAGACGCCAGATTTCTTTGTTTTCGAAAGGTATAAACTTAAATCTAGGCATTTCAGTTGAGTTTTAGGAAAAAGTGCTCTTGGTTTTGGGTTAAGGGAGTAGAGGAGAGCATTTTGAGGGGTGTTGTTTCCTCCCGACCACCGTGAACGGTGGTGGAATGCCACCGACGAACGGTGGCCATCCATACCGATGAGGGGGAGGTTGAGAGTTTGTTCTCTCTCTCTCTCTTAAAAAAAATAAAATGGCGGCTATGGTTTCCACAAAGCCAAAATATGGCTTATAAATGAAAACCAAAACCACATCAATTTAGGCTCTAGGGCTACACTATTTTAGCGCGTGGATAAACTACTCGAATGGGGTCTCTAGGTTTGTGAAACTGTGATTTAGTCCTTGTTGGAAGTTTTTTTAGTTTCTGATTTTACCTTCTCATGTTACACGGGTTATAGTTTGGTCACCTTGCGTTATTTGATTTTGCTTATTTTAATTTCCAGCATGTAATTTTAAATAGTTTCATTTTGGTCTTAAATATATATGGGTTTATTACACTTTCAGTGCTTGTAATGTATGATTCTTGTGTTATATGTTATGGTATTTGTTTTATTTGTTGTGACACTAAAATTTCCATTTTTATTATTTAACCCTATATTTGAATAATACAAATGGTATGTGCTTTGAATATTATCCATGTATAAAATATATATTGGTATCATTAAATATAGATATTTGTGTAACTTGTTGCATATATGTTTAGGGTTTAATTTGAATTAATTTGCATGTAATTGGTAAGCTAATTTACTTTTCATATGTTTATTTGATTATAATATTCATAAGTATTAAATGTATTGTTATTGATATATATATAATTCACAGTTTTATATTTATATTTCATATTCGGTATGTATCATATATGTAAGCATTATGAGTTTTGTGTATATATGGTCTAAACGTGTATTAAGATTAAAAATCTATGATTTTGTTACATATTTTGTTACATATTGTATACTATATGTGTAAGTTATATATGCTAAATTCTTTAAATATATACTTTTTTGTATTTATAATCTTGTAAATATATTAGTTCACTAATACAACAACTTTTATTTTATTTATTTATTTATTTGTATGTTACGTTGTTAATTCATAAATACCTATCATTAATATTAAATATTTTATTTCAGAAAATAAATTATATTACTTAAGTTTCATCCATCTTTGAACTTAATATTTTTTATTAATATATTACTTTATATTTTGATATATTTGTATGTATATATTACACATAAACATATCATATACTTATGTTTATACTATATTTTTATATATATTAATTGGCATTTTAGTTGTAGTGTACTA